TAGAGCAGGAAACGGTTCTACTATTTGTATGTATGTGGAAGCGTGTGTGTACGCATGTATATATGTATGTATGTATGTACTTGTATACATGTGTAAGTACGTACGTGTGTATGTATTTATGCATGTTTGTATGTATATATTTATTTGTTTTTCTTCATGTGCGTATGAAACAAGTTTGAAAGTAAAGAAAAATCACTCCCGTTGTCTTCCTCTTCGCTCTCTCTCTCTCTCTCTCTCTCTCAATAACAACATGAATCACATAAACATGCCACCGAAAAAAAAAAAAAAAAAAACACTCTGGAGGTATCAGGTAACCCTCCAGATGCAAAAGGAAAAGAAATGACAATGAAAACGCGACGTGCAAGACGCATAAATAACGAACCTCTGGCAACCGTCTTCGCGCCGCGTTCACAAGGGTTCAAACGGGAAGTACGAGAGTTCTGTTGCGAATGTTCAGTAGATTTGATGTTCATTTGTTTGTTCTGTTGAGTTTCTGAGATGTTGGCAAAATTGCGCGTTGGAGGAAAGCTTGATATTTGGGTATTCATGTATTCTTCATTGGTTGTTGTTATGCGATGTTGCTTGGGAAAGTTAGGGTAAAGGTATGGATATTTGTCCGTCTATTTGTTTGTCGTTCTGTCTTCTTGTCTGTTTGTCTCTCACTGCCTCTGCCTGTCTTTTTGTTTGCCTGTTTATTTCTTGGTCAGTCTGTCTGTTCCTGACTCTTTCTGCCTGTATGCCTGTCTGTCTCTCTCTCGTTCCTTTTTCTTTTTCTCCCTTTCTCTCCCTATTTTTCACTTAGTGTCTGTCTGTCTACCTGCCTCTTCTCCCTCTCCCTTCTCCACTCCCTCTCCCTCTCCTTCCCTCTCTCCCTCTCCCTCCCTCGAGGATTTTGATAGTATTAGTTTTTATATTTTGTTTTAATTGTTATTGGCGGCTGACTAGATGTTTATGATGGTATACCTTTAGCAGTGAAAGTGAAGCTGTTAGTAATAGTCAAAATGTGATTGGTAGCGACTGTAGGTAAGAAACGGTCAGTTATTATGATGTGACAGGTAGAAGAGCGGGTATTCTTAAGTAAAAGATGTTTATTAGGAGCAGATATAATAGTTCTTTTATAATGTTCTTGGTTCGTGTGCCATTGTTTGTATTGAATTGGATATACTAACTAAAACGAATAAATCACTGAATGAAAAGAGAGTCTGACAAAAAGATATGAAACGACGCATTTTTATGAATGATCAACAGTGTAAAGAAAAAAACAACAACAAAAAAGAGAGATAGGAAAGAGAAGAATAGAGAGAAGCGCATGACCATCGTAGTGTTAAAGCGCTGACTCACCAAAACACCTTTTTATCCTATAGAAGACTAACAGACTAATGCACGGAAGAGGTCCCAGTTCCAAGGTTACACTGTTGAACCCATCTCTTGTGTTTGTTTTTTTCTTTATTTTCGTTTCGTGTTCTTCAGCAAAGTATGAAAAACACTGAAAATTAATATTGTGGTGTGATTTTCCTATTATTAAAATTAAGGCTCAGTACGTATTTGTTTGTGAATAAGTTTCCATGAATATTAGTCGTAATATGATTTTCACTTACATCTCATCACTTTGAAAACAACTGTACTTTATTCAGCTGTTTTAATAACTCGATTACTGCTGACGTTATAGCGAAAGTTAACTTAACGGAAATATTTCTTTAAAAAGCCATATTACACTGATAACTACTCAGACTACTTGATAGTGGAGTATGATAAATAAATGGATGATAAGATATTCAAGGATGATAAGGGATTGAAGAATGGATTGATTTAATAAGCAAAATAGGAAAAAATAGGAGAGAAATATATATATATATATATATATATATATATATATATATATATATATATATATATATATATGTGTGTGTGTGTGTGTGTGTGTGTGTGTGTGTGTGTGTGTGTGTGTGTTGTGTGTGTGTGTGTGTGTATGTGTGTGTGTGTTTGTGTGTTTGTGTATATGTATGTATACACACACACACACACACACACACACACACACACACACACACACACACACACACACACACACACACACACATACACACACACACATACACACACACACACACACACACACACACACACACACACACACACACACACACATATATATATATATATATATATATATATATATATATATATATATATATATAATATATATATATATATATATATATATATATATATATATATATATATATATATATATATATATATATATATATATATATATATATATATATATATATATATATATATATATATATATATATATAAGTATATATGTATACACATATGCATATATATACATATATATATATATATATATATATATATATATATATATATATATATATATATATATATATATATATATATATATATATATATATATATATATATATTATATATATATATATATATATATATATATTTATACGTATACATGTACATATATATGTGTATATATATGTATATATATATATAATATATATATTATATATATATATATATATATATAATATATATATATATATATATATATATATATATATATATAATATATATATATATATATATATATATATATATATATATATATATATATTATATATATATATGTATATATACACATATGCATGTACATATACATACATACATATATATATATATATATATATATATATATATATATATATATATATATATATATATATATATATAATATATTATACATATACATACATATATATATATATATTATATATATATATATATATATATATATATATATATATATATATATATATATATATATATATATATATATATATATATATATATATATATATATATATATATATATATATATATATATATATATATATATATATATGTGTGTGTGTGTGTGTGTGTGTGTGTGTGTGTGTGTGTGTGTGTGTGTGTGTACATATAAAAGTAAACAGATAGATAAAAGAAAGTGCTGCCACACTGAAATGACTCTGCTCGTCCGTAAATGCGTAAAGTTAGAAGAAATAAGATCAAGGCGGCCAGAATAAGCAGGATTGGCGTCATTCTCTTCTCGTTAGTATGAAATGCCAAATCAATTTGTTCTTTCTTCCTTCGGGAACGGAACACAAAAGGGTTCCATCGTCTTCATCAAAATTAATGTAATTTAAGGTTGTCAATGAACTCCAGTGACCTATGGCGTCTTTACTAGTCGATATTCATTCCAGGAATTGCATTTGACTCGGTCGATGTGCGGGAATATACAAACAATTGCAATTTTCGCAACCATTCTAAAAATTTGTGCAGAAACTTGTACGACTGGTTTTAATGCAAGCTAAATAAGAGTGATATCAAAGTAGTAAAAAAAGAGTGATAAATCCAGAAGGAAAAATGTGTAAGAAAATTGGTTAAAAGTGTATCGATAAAACGGAAGGGGAAGAGAGAATTATATTAAAGGATTGCGGAAGACCGTACCTGACATGGAATAACAATCACATATTCTTTGTGTATTGGGCGCGTATCAACTAGGTTTTGTTATGTCAGTATCGTCGGCGTAAACTTCCTTCCCGATTCCGTCTTTTTGTCGGATATGAAAGTACTTCCACCTCTATATATGCCTATCCAGACTTGTGCACGGCAGGTCACGTAGTCACATGGTCACCTTAAACATGCCTTGTCAGCCTACCATATTAATAACAGTACCCCTCGCTTTCTAATTATAGTAACGTGTCGCTCTGTTTCGGCGCATTTTCTTTTTTTTATTATTAAAAAAAAATATATATATTGCTTATGCTCGCATGTTTGGGTAAAATAAAGAGTTTTATGGAATTCATTTGCAGGCATTGTTTTATTAAAGGTCGGCGTTTACAGTACAGCACAGTACATGAGTAGAGGGATATCCCACCATAGAACAGACGGGAGACCTCAACAAGGTGCGTGTTTGCCATACGGGATGGACCTCTTCCCCCTCACCCCCATCCCAACCCCATCAATCCTTCCATCCCACTCTCCTTCGCCCTCCCTCGCCTCCCTCACCCCTGGGGATCCACCAAGCCCTACCCCGCCCTCCCTCACATTACAGGATACGCCCTTGTAGCGCTGTGACGTCACTTTTCTCCTCCCACTTTGCCGGCCAATCACGCGGCAACGCATTCGAGTCCGTCCTCCCTTCCTCTCGTTTATCGCCCTCGTTCTACCTTGTTCTTTATACAATTACCCCTTATAATCACTGAATAAAAAGAAGATAAACGCTGGGGTAGGCGTGAAGAGGAATAAAAGAGAGAGAAGGAGGGGCAGGCAGGTGAGAGAGTAAGGTGGGAAGACTCTGACCCAAGCTGCCGTCGCCAAGGGCAGGCCGATAAGGACCCGGGTCGCGTCTCTATATATTGACCGCCACTCCGTCGCGGCTGCCACAATCCTGCAACACACGGACGGACGCATGTGAGTGCTGCTGGAGTCCTGCAGGGCACTCTGCTTTCCCTCACTCGTTTGTGACAAGGAGCCGGCTGTTCAGTGGAGAATTCCACTGTTGTGATGCGATGTGACCATTCGTGATGAGTTACGGAGCGCTCGGGAGTGTTGTAATGTTAGGAAAACGTGTGTTTCTGTTTTTTAGTGTTCATCCTGCGGAAGAGGAAAAAGTCATCGTTATGTGACATTTGTTTCAAAAACGTTTTTTATGTCTGTTTTGGAGAAAAATGCAAGACTTAATAGATAAATAAGTTTTAGCAAGGAAAAAAAAAATGTGCAATCGGTTATATAGAAAAGCAAAATAAGTGTAATAAAGGAAATATATGTTGAGGCTAATGATCTAGTGGCGATTAGATATACAATGAAATACAGATAATGGTTGTTCTTCGATTTTATGTTGATAAGCTGAAGGTACCTGATGTGTATCATGTTTAGTGCTTGGTGTGATAAGACGTGATTACAGGGAATGATTTGTTGTGTCAACAGATAACGATATTAAGTAGAAAGAGACAATTTTAGTGATATCGAAGGAAATAAAGGGAAGAGATACGCTTTTGTCATTTCGTATCTCGTAATGAAATGTGTTGTTGACAGTTAAACAATAAAAGTACTTATCTCAAGAGTATTCATTTAAGTTTCGAGGTTATTATTTTAATTCCATTTGTGAAATGATACTAAGGGAAAATGAAGTGATAGACAAGGTATTTTTGTTAGTTCCTGTTCTTTCTCTCTCTCTGTCAATAAATCTCTATCTCTCTCCCTCTCCCTGTCTCTGTCACTTTCTCTCTCTCTGATAGTTATGATGAATGAAAATGAGACATTTCAAGATCACCGATGATTGACACACAGAATTATTGTAATTGTTTTTCTTTTTTCGTGGACGTGAGTATGGGTGTTGACGGTGAATACGGGTCACATTTGTATGTTTCCCTTTCATCTCTCTTCCTCGACTATTTTCATATTCTCTTTCAATCTTTCACTCCCTTTCCACCTCGGCACTCCCTCCTCTCCCTCTCTCTTTCTTATTTTCTCTCTATCATTCCCCTTCTTCCTGTTTCTCTCTCTCACACACTATCGTTCTCTCTCTATTTTCCCTCTTACTCGTTTCATCTTTGCTCTTCTTTCCTCCCCCCCCCCTCTCTCTCTCTGACTCCGCTTATCTCTCCCTCTCCCTCTTCTTCGATTTCTACTTTTGCCTCTCTCTCTCTCTCCATTATTTCTTTAAAAAATGCTAAGTGATTTCGAATCATATTGTGAATCCGTCTATACTCATTAGTATACACAAACCTCTTGACATACGGCAGGATTTAGATATATCAACTTGGGATAGAAATAAAATAAGCACATGAATAACAACAGACACAAGTAAGAGTAACCGACTCCATAGTTCAGTTTCGCAACATATCTACAAAATTTCATTTATTGAAGGAACTACAACTTAAGTAACACTCTGGGTCAATTTATATACCAGCACTGAACACACACCGTAGAAAAAATATAAATCTTTTGAAGTGTGTCACGAAGCTTTTACCTTGACCTCCTATATGCAATACCGACGTAGAAAAATGGATTCGGGTTAAACTTGTCCCGTGCTGCTATTTGAGTATGATTTGATAATTTGGAGAGTTGAGTAGAGAGTGAGTACATGTTGGTGTAACAGATGTTGAAAGGCGTAGGAAGGGGCTTAAAGAATTTTAGGTGTAACATGTATGTTAGAAAAGGTGTAAATGATGATGAATATTTCCGTAATGAGAAATATGTAATTCATGTTCTAGTGCTGTATTTTCATTAGAACAAAAATGTTTTCCTTGATAAAATTTTCATGAAAATTACGTGATTTTGAGGAGGATAAAATCAAAACTTTAATAACACGTCTTCTCGAATCTCATTTTTTCATTAACGATTATAGAATTTAACATAAGAAATGATAATGGCGCAATAGAATTATCAGAATAAAATGTGATTTAAAGTTCTGAAGAGTACTTTTAATTGAATGGCAAAACACACTAACGTATTGACGAAATAACAATAGAATGTACTGTTTTCTTGTTCAGCGTTTTTTAAATTTCTTGTTAGTTGATGCTGTTGATGATGACTTGATAACAGGAGTGCATGATTTAATGTCAATAGTCAGTTTCTTGATAATAGTGTTTTAGATTATTTAAGTATAAAATTAATATATACAGCACGTTGTTCACAAAGAGATTCATACCTAAAGAGGAAAAAATCATTGTAGACAGTAGTGCTAAAGTGACTAACAGCATAAGTGTGCATTATTAGTATATACTGCCTTGCATGTGAGAGCGTGTCCTCGGTTTAATGAATCCAATTATTGCTTAGAGATATTATCCTGAAAAAACACATCGTAAATCTGTTGAGATAACATTTTCAATGGAGTGGCCGATACTGAGATCATTTCTTAAACGAAAGTAGAAGTAACAGTAGGAATAATACAAATAACCTTTGTATGAACATATGAAAAATAGATGGCTATCACTTATTTAGATGTAAAACTTATCTATCACCTTTAATCTTATCAGCCAAACACCACTGATTTGCAACCAAATGCTGTCATCCGAAACAAAAGGCAGGCAAGTCAGCAGTAAAACAGATACAGTCTTGACAAATACCTCAAAAATTAAATTCAGCATTGTCCACATTCCTTGTCATGTAATATTCAGTTAAATGTAAATTATGTTACATTTCTTTAATTCTGCAGCTCTTTTTCGTGTGGGCCTGAGTTACAGAGATCTATTTTGATCTTGATTTTATTTTTTCCATTATTCGTTTATTTACTTACTGTAACGTAAAATGTACTTGAATTGTTGATATCACGTTACAGGTTGGTGAAGACAAGCATATGATAACTGATAACTTAACGATGTTAATTACTTGATTGCATTTTCCTCGGTTTATTTGTATTATCTATTTGTTTATTTTTTGCATTTTTATCATATATTTTTTCATATATTCATACATTGATCCATTCATATACTTTATCGTATATGTATTCTTTATACATTTGTTTATTTACTTGCATCTCTCCCTTTCCTGCTATATACACTAAAAAACGCGCAAAAAATAACCGCATTGTTCATTATCATTGTTATCATCAGGTGCCTCCTTTACAACAAAAAAAATCTAGACAGCTCCTCCTGCGATTGTAGTCAAGGTGAATTGTAATAGATAGATAAATAGATCCTACACATATTTACCTCATATGTATAAACACACACACACACACGGGTGTGTGAGTTTATTTGTTTAAATGCATAAATATATGTATATATATGTATATATACATACATATTATATATACATACACACACACACACACACAATCACACACACACACACACACACACACACACACTCACACACACATATATAATATATATATATATATATATATATATATATATATATATATATATATATAT